CTCTACTAGGCACGTCCTTGTAGACTCCCTAGGACACGACCCGCTCTGATACCACTTTGTCACGCCCCAACCTTGAGAGACGTGCCTGGCACCCAGTACCGCAGTGGCCCGAGCAAACCACTCTGAAACTCATTCATTCTTTTTGTAACTATCATGGGCCAACATGGCCACAACTCGTAATGTACAATTGTAAGTGGACAACATTGTATCACCGAACCATTTTTCTTAAAACATGAATACATATGGGCCGTTAAGGCCTCTGACATACTGTACGAAATTAACCTCTGTCTACAAAGCCTCTAAGATTATTCGACATTAAATGAGACAGGGTACCAGCCTACCTATAAGTTTGTAGGGAAACTCTGACACGATGACTCATAGACTTGGCTGTACTCCGAATAAGGTGGAGTCTTACCGATCACGTCAAACTGATTATCTATACCTGCAGGCATGAATGCAGCGTCCCCAAGAAAAGGACGTCAGTACGAATAATGTACTGAGTATGTAAGGTAGAACTAAAACATAACAATAAGTTATTATTTATTTAAAGACATATAAGAATCAACCTGTAAGTCTGGATAACTCTGTAAATCATGAAATACATATAGTGTCATGCATATGCATATGCGTATGAATGTCATGTCGTGCATAGGTACATGTGCTCATAATATCATCAAGCCTCCGAGGGCATCCTACCATATCATCTCGGCCACTGTGGGAAAAATCATCAACGTATACAAGCTGATCAGGTAGTGGTGCGTATATAACGCGGTAGCCTTTTTCCCATATCCCATATATATATATATATATTTACATATATACGCGTATATAACGCCATCTGGAGCCACTGTGGGAAAAGACTCGAAAAATATCAAAAATCACGAAGTTGGCAAAACCCGAGCCCCGGGCCCACTTCTCGAAAAATTACGAAATTCACATCTCCGGATTCCTCATCTCGCCACGAGTCTATACATATCAAAATCATCAAAATCGGGGTCCATTTGACCCCTCAAATTCCTATTTTTAAACTCTCTTAAATTCAAGCCCTAAACCACCATTTTTGATCTTTGATTCCTTGATTATTCAGTCCAAATTCATGTTTATACACCATAAAATCAAGCTCTAAGTCCAAGAGTTCATACCTGATAATATCCCTCGAATCCCTCTTCAAAATCGCCTCAAAGCTCTCAAGGTTCGGAGTCAAAAATGCTACTCTTTCAAAAATTCGCGAGGAAGATGTTTTCACTTAACCTGCAAGTTATTTCCGCTTCTGCGGATTAATTCCCGCTTTTGCGCCTTCCACTTATGCGGTCAACGTCCGCTCCTGCGGACCTTTCACTTAAGGCGACTTTCCGCTTCTGCGGTCTAACTTCGCATCTGCGGGACCGCTTAAGCGACCCAATTCCCCGCTCCTGCGGAACCTGACCTGGGCTCCTATTTCCGTTCCTGCAAGGCCTAGCTCGCTTCTACGAGACCGCATCTGCGATCTCCTTTCCGCAGATGCGGAAACACCTGCTGCAACCAAAAACCTACAATTTTCCAACTCCAAATTTCTTCCGTTAGCCACCCTAAATCACCCCGAGGCCCCCGGGACCTCAACCAAAGTTACCAACACATCTTAAAACATTATTCAAACTTGTTCCAATCCTCAAAACACGTCTAACAATGCTAAAACCATTAAATCACATCGAATTCAAGCCTAAGTTTCTTCAAAACTTCCGCAATACGCATTCGATCAAAACTCGACCCAAAACATCTCCGAATGACCTGAAATTTTGCACACACATCCAAAATCACCTAACGGAGCTATAGAAACTCTCGGAATTCCATTCCGACCCTCGGATCAAAATCTCGCCTACCAACCGGAATTTGCCAAAATACTAACTTCGCCAATTCAAGCCTAATTCTACACCGGACCTCCAAAACAAATTCCGATCACTCTCCTAAGTCACAAATCATCCCCCGAAGCTAACCGAATCTCCGGAATTCACATCTGAGCCCTCTAACCAACTAGTCAACTTCCGGTTGACTTTTTCAAAACAAGCTTTCCTTAGAGAGACTAAATGTCTCATCTCCTACCAAGACCAAACCAATCCAACTCGATTACCCCAAATACCGATAATGAAGCATAGAGAAACATAATATGGGAAAAACGGGGCGGTAACTCACGTGACGACGGGCCGGGTCGTCACAAATATCAAATCATAAATACTTATAACCTCAAAAATAGTCATGTCCTTGAACTTATATTAACTATCTTATGACAAATCCAATGTAGAAAAGTACGGTATGTAACAGTTGCATCAGACGTTATTATTACAGATATTGTTCCGGTCTTTGATATGTATGAATCAGTATTATTTGATCGGGGTTCCACTTATTCATCTGTGTCATTTTACTTTGTTTCGTATTTGGATATATCTCATGATTCTTTGAGTTCTCCTGTATATATATCCATATATGTGGGAGGTTTTATTATTGTGGATCGTGTTTATCAGGCGTGTTTAGTCTTTATTGGTGGTTATGAGACCAGAGTTGATCTATTGTTACTCAGTATGTTGGACTTTTACGTGACCTTGGGTATGGATTGGTCGTCACCCTATCATGCTATTCTGGATTGTTACGCCAAGACTGTGACATTGGCATGCTAGAATTGCCGTGGTTGGAGTGAAGGGGTACATTAGATTATACTCCTAGCAAGGATGTGTCATTTCTTAAGGCACATGAGATGGTGGAGAAGGGGTGTGAAGCATATCTAGCCATTTTAAGGGATGTTAGTACTATTACTTCTACCGTTGAGTCAGTTCCGGTAGTGAGAGATTTCCCAGATGCGTTCCTAGCAGACCTATCGGGCATGCCGCATAATAAGGATATCGATTTTGGTATTGACCTGGTGTCGGGCACTCAGCCCATTTCTATTCCACCATATCATATGGCACCGGTGGAGTTGAAGGAGTTAAAGGAACAACTTCAGGAATTGCTTGATAAGGATTTCATCAGGCTGTGTATTTTACCTTGCGGTGCTCCGGGTCTGTTTGTGAAGAATAAGGTATTGATACCCAATTTTTCCCTATATATTTTAAATATGCATAACTACCTTCAAAATAGCATATATATGCATATATAAGCGTGTCCAAGATTTTTATTATTTTCCCATAATTTTAAGGGATTAAATTGACGTACTTTCTCCCTTTTTATACATAAAATGCCCAATAATTATTTTCAAAATTATTGTTTTGATAATTCATCTATTTAATTTCTATAGTTATGCCAAAAATATAGCTAAGGTAATTTTTATATATTACATTTAGTATTTTTAAAGCTAAATTGCACATAATTGCAATATTAGCCCTTTTAAGATTTAATTATATTTTATATGCATAAAATTGGTTCTCGTATTTTTAAATTGTTAATTATGTATTTCAAATCATTTTGGCACCTTAAATTTATTTTCCAGAAATTACCTGTTATTTTTTATAAATTAAATAGGTGAAATTGGCTATTTAAATAACAACCGAATTTGGCTTACAATTATAGCCAAAATTGGACCCTTTCCAACCCAATTTCACACCCAAACCACCCGACCCAGATCCTATACACGTCTACCCGACCCAAGCCATCCTAAATCCTGGCCGTTGATCTAAGAGATCAACGGCCTTCGTTCAACCTTTCCTTTTTAATTCTGAGAGACCCCCTAACCCTAATCACTTTTCTAAGGGCGCCGCCCTCAGATGCTCTCGTCTCTCTTCTTTCTCGACCTAACCCTAATTACTTTTCACCGCCTCCTTCTCCGGCGACCACCCTTTCAAACACAAGCCTCCAATGGGTCTCTCATCACCCTGCTCATCATCTCTAAGGCCCTCGAGGGTCCTAGGCCATGTGGATTTGGAACTAGGGTTTCTGTTCCTGTTACTTATGGGTCTTCGATGTAATTTTGGGCAAAATCACACCTTATATGTCACGATCGTGAAGTTTCAACAGGTTCCTTTAATTTTTACTTGGTTTTCTTTTTGAAATCCAAACTCTCTTCTGAATCTCTCAGATCTATTTTATTTTTACGCTTTAAGCCTATCTCCTTCTGTGACTTGCTTATCCTCGAGTTTTCTTCTGAAAGATCTTCTACTTTAAACCACCTTTTACTCCCTTTAAGAAACTAGGGTTTTTGGAGTTCTTTCTATACCTGTTTCGACTGATTTCTTTGTGATTAAACCTTTTTCTTTGTTTATCTTGACCGATTCTATGTTCTTACTGCTTTTTAACTCAACTCTGTTAAAAAGCCCTAATTTCTTAAAGATTTTCTTCACTTGTTACTGTGAGTCTTAAAGACTTTCTTTACTTGTTTCTGTGTGTTGGCCTGATCTTCTTTACCTGTTTCTGTGTGTTAGATTGGTTTTCTTCACTTTGCACTACAACAAAAAGGGTGTTCAGCGGCAATACAAAACGTCTTTAGCGGCAATAACAATAGCCGCTATATCCTTTACCGGCCATTGTCGTTTAGCAGCTGATGTTGGGGTCGGCAAAGCCTTTAGCGGCCTTTATGACAAAAGCTGGTAAAATATATGATTTATTGCCGCTAAAAATAGTTAACTTTAACGGCAATTGTTTGCGGCAATTATGATGGCTTCTAAACCCAATCTAAAAACGGCTAATTATGCTCATTTAGCGTCCTTTTATATAGCCGCTAAATTTAAAATAATTGCCGCTAAAAGTTTATATATTTAACGGTAATTATTTTGTGTGGCAATTGAAATTGCTATAGTATCCCTTATGAAAATGTCTTAGTTTTCCCTTTTAGCATCCATTTCAATGGCTGTTACATTCAACTAAATTATCGCTAAAAGTCGATATCTTTAACAACAATAGTTTTTAGTGCTAAAAGTCACAAGCTGTAACAGAAAATTAGGCATCATTAATAATAGTTACTACATTCATCCAGAATATGTGCCAAACAACAAAATTTATTAATATTAATTCAAAAATATAATATATCTTACTAAATCTTAACAAACAAATAGAAGTACTAATTAAAAAAATCAATGTCACATTAACTTAAAAAATAAAATTATTTTGTTTGAATTGAATAGCTAATGCTATTATATAACTAATCTTGAGGAATGATAGTCTTCAAATAATTTCCGCAGCTTTTCATCATATTCAAATCTTCCACCAGCTGAATTATTTAACATCAGAGTGTGACCTAAAATTATAAAAATAAATTGTATCAAAAGATAAAATATAATGTGAGAAATATATTGAAGACTCCATCACTATCAGTCTATCATATTCTTTTTCAGCCAACTCCCTCACCTAACATTTATTAGCAAAAACAACTACATGGATTAATATGCGAGCAAAATGGATGTGCAAATAATAAAAGAGAGATTCTTTCTGTGTTATAGTCGAGAAGGAACAAAAAAATATCAAAAGCAGAATGTTACCTTGGAGAAGTAAAAGGAAGTTGCACGCCAAGTTCATTAGCAAATGTTATAGTTGCCAAGTCTTTTCCTTAAACATAGATACTAGATATGCTTACATGCTATTAATGAAGCTCCCAAATAGGTGACAGAAAATTATGCACAATAACATCGATAAAACCTTAGGCATACTCATATTGTATGTGTCATAAATAGTTGAAATTAAATTTCTCTAGAAACTATAGCCAACTTAAGAATAATTGTTTCTGATATGAACTTAAACATAACTTCATTTCCAAGGCTAAGTTCTATGGACCAGTGCAACAAGATAATCATAAAACCTTCACACGATTGATATTCCAAGACTAAGTTCTATGGACCAGTGCAACAAGATACTCATAAAACTTTCACACGACTGATATGAAGCTATGTCCAAATATAATACCTACCACAATACGTAAAATCTTTTAGCTAGTAGAGATGGTCTACATAAATCTTCTATATCAAATTGGAGAAAAAGAAGAGTAGAGATAACATATTCATTGTCATTCTCCTCAATTAGCAAAAGGAAAAAATCATGAGAACTATTCTGAGAGACCTCCACAATCCTTGAAATATGAGCATGGAATAACTTTAAGCTCAAGGTCGCGCACCTAAGAGAAGGAAAACGGCAATTGAGGGAACTTACCAGGCGAAGAGACTCCAAATGGTCATATCTCACAAGGTTGCCAACCAGGTCATCTGGGAGATTCTTTTCATGTTCGTACTACCCGATACTGAAGTCCAGTCAGTGTATTATATGAATACAAACTAAGTATTAAACATGATAGCATGGAAGCAACCTCTCAAGTGAGGGAACCACATCCTCCATCAACGCTAAGCAAAAGGAGGGAACAATCCACTTAAATAAAAAAGAAGCAAATACTTTTCTCATACAGAGTATATTGCTAATATTTACAAAGACATTAATCTATCTACAAATGAGAATAAGAAGAATTTTCTAGTCAGAAAACACGTAAATATTTCTTCTTGATGTGTTTTCAAGAAAAATAATAGTCATAACTATTTTAAACAACATTTTCACTTTCATGTTGTTACCTTTCCACGACGATGCCTTTCAGGGAATTATTTTTCATGGCTAAAGTGAACTACTATATTTTAGATGAAACTATTTTGAAGATTTGCATCGTTGCTTAATAGTTTTTTCTAATGTCTCAAGTGGATATATACATTTACAAGATTTACGTTCTTTATAGGTCTTCTACATGAGATTCCTAATGGATAGAGGATATTATTGCAATATAAATAGGATTAATCAGGCATATCATCAAACACCTTGAGTTGCACAATCCAAATTTCGTTCATTCTTTTTTGTTATACCTCAGATTTCCCATAAGATAGTTTAATTATGCACCAATTAGTTGGTAACTAAGAGCACGTGCATCAAAGAGATAAAATACACGAGCAAATCAAGTACAATTACCACCATGCATGTAATAATTCCAGCAAGAAGTTATATTCAAAAGGATAGGAAACATATATACATAAATTTTGGTTACCAAAAATAATAAAGCAAGAGCAGGAATAACCCAAGGAATGCTCAACAGAGTTAGACTAAATCTCGGAGAATTGAAGAAAGAAACAGGACAGGAACCGAGAGAACAAAATAGAGCAAACATCATAATAAAATAAGAAAAGAAATATGAATTCTGATCATCCACCAATCAACTATGTCATAACTTTTAATTTTGAACATCGGGAACTTACCGGTAAATCCTCTTTAAAGTCGTCGGTGAGCTAGAGACATGCCTTCAGTATAGCAGCTTCTGTTGATATTTTTGTACTCTCTGAGAATCTTTGTGGCTGAAGCTGTTTTATGATAGAAACCTTTAGTATAATATACACACAATAAACCCAAGTTCATTAACCGAAAGAAAATATACACACACAGAGAGTACCTGCAGAACAAAAATACATAAACCCAAGTTCATCAACCAAAAGAAAATAATCTCAGGAATAACATCCATCTACCTAAGTACTTAAGATTGTTTATTCTCTGAAAGATTTAATATTTAAGTTCTCTATAAAAATTAGACATAAAACTACAAAAGGAAGAGTAAGTCCATTGGAAAAAATAAGAACCCAAACTGGCATCCATTAGCATTTTAAGGAGGAGTTAGAGCACATACTTTGCTGCGCTTGATCACTGCATAAGACGATCACACCATAATAGATATAGAAAGTTAAACAGAAAAAGAGAGAAGTAATTACCTCCAAACACAGGGAACAAATCTTAAAAGTAGAGCACTAAGAATACCAATTCTTCCACCACGTGTTTTCCGGTTGAACTCCTTGGAGCACTATGAATATCACAACATAAGATCTGTTACCCATAAGTCTGTACCCATGTTCGTCCCCCCAAACTCTCACTTCTAAACAGTAAAATATCACTCAAACTTGAGCTAAGACAACTGCTAGGTGCAAAAAATAGTCTCTAACCATTGATGATTTATTCTAGATCAATCACTTGGGGGGAAAAAAGACAAAGCTCCAGAAATTTCAGAAAGAGAAGTTAGTCAAGCAAGTAATGAACATAACATCATGAAATGAAGGAATGTTAGTATAAAGAAATCGATTAATATCTTATAGTACATTCAATTCTTACGAGAAAAAATAAACTATAAAAAGGTCATTTAGTTATATGAGAAATCAATAAAATAATACTGAAGTTCTTAGAGAATGATATTGAGAAAATGGTAATTGTTCTGGTTTGGAGTTCCAATGTTGCATTTTCAAATAAATATAGCAAATTTGAGTGAGATTATTTTGGTGAAATGAATTATAAAACTAATTTCCTTTATCTTTTTTATTCCTTCCTTCAGTGAAGTCTTTATCTTCAAAAGTAAATGGACTAACTACTAACTAGAAATAGAATCAATAAACTATAAGAAAATGGGTCAAAACAACAACAACAACAACAACCTAGTGGAATCCCACAACTGTGATTTGGGGAGGGTAGTGTGTACATGTTCTTAAAAGTGAGCATGTTCTTTAAACAGACTAAAAAGAAGGAGGGTCACGTAAAATGTAGTGATCAATGGAGGAATAATCACTAAGTTAAACATAACAAACAAGTTGTACTATGCATAAACAGAAACATACATTTGTCCAGACACTAGATATATAAATGAGTCGAGGAGGTAATTATACGACTCTCTGCAACTTCCGTAAGTTGGGGTTTCTCCTTAAAGGTCCATAACCAAGAAGCCATGGAATTTTTCTCTTCATAAAGCATATCACATAATACAATACATAGCCATATATTGCAATTCTAATCAAGAACCAAAGATACCACTGCAATTCATCTTTCTTGATCTGAAACTCATTTCAGCTTCAGATTGCCATTTCAAGTACCAAGTTGAGGCAATAGATTGATCTACATACTCTGGCCAAGCCATACCCAGCCGCATCCTCACCCGATAAGGAAAAAATTCAAAGAAGAAGTACCTTAAATGAAAAGGGGGCAAATTCTGCTTTCATCTAGCAGATAGAAATTTTGTTCACCTGTTAAAATAAATTTGAGAATTTATGTTTCACTATTTGTAACTTTTCATTTGAAATACTTAAGTTTGTATGTAGATGGACTCCTAAATAACTTCAATCAGTGATACCTTAAGAAATATTGAGTGAAAGAGATGGAGATAGATAGAGGAATACCTGAGATTTGGTAATCCCAAAGAGACTGAAGATAGAGACCGGCGATTCAAGGCCGAAGCACCTATGATTGAAGGTGGAAAAAACTGAGGCTTGCTTCGGCGATATGAATTTGGGGGCTGAGGGATTTCTTTTGCGGGTTTACACTGAGGCGTGGCTTTTTCGAAAAAGAAAAAAACTGAAAAAATAAATAAAAATACTTAACTTATGATAAATAGGAGGGAGATGAAAAAGAATATAGAGGGAGTAATATCAGAAAGAGGGAAGATTTAAGATAATTATAAAAAGCATAACTTTTAATGGCCATTGTTTTCAACTATCAGTAAAAATGTATTCTTTATCGGCAAATATTCAACTGTCGGTAACATTGGACCTTCATAGAATCAATACATGCAATTAATTTATTGCCATTAAATGATTGTCGCTAAAGGTCATTTTTGTAGTAGTGTGTGTTAGCCATGACTACTTGACTTTGTTAAGTTTCTGTTGGTTACCATGCTTCGAATGGGTTTTTCTACGGAGTCCTTAGCCTACTCGTGTCACTTCTGTATGATTGTGTTCATCTGGCTGACCTTGCATGTCTGCTACACATGTTCATTCTTCTCTATTTATATGTTGAAGTACAGAATCATGACTCCCGCTTGATTGATCCTGATTTCCTTAATTTATGGTTCGATTGCAAGATTTTCTTATAAAACCCTAAAGTTTTACTCGGCTGTTTAAGTTGATTTATTTCGTTTCCTTATTTGTTGTAGTGCTTCATTCTTGCTGAATCATTTCCTTAATTAGTGTATTCTGTACTTAGACTCAATCATATGCTCTATACTTTTACTACCCCTTATATGGTAAAAACCAGTCTTTCTCAACTGATTTTCTTTCCTAGGTTATCCCTGTTGGTATCCGTTTAAGCTATAATTCCTTGATTAAACGGGAGTACTTATTTAAATTGGATTCTAATTGTGATTACTTCCATAATTGTGCTAAACCTCTACTTGTTACCTTATTTTCTACCTATTTTCAAAGCTATAAATACCCTAAGTCTTTTATTAGCAAGACACGAGACTTGGCTTTCAAAAACCCCTCTCTTAATTTAAAACTCTGTGTTATTCAACTACTATTAGCCGGCTGCAAGCCAAGGCTAATCATCTGTAAACCTTGGTTCTTTCATTTTGCTTACCTCTATCTTCACTCGTATGTCCTAGTTTAATGTAAAGTCTCAACAACAACATGTTTCTATTCCTGCTTCAGTTTCCTTTATTTCTCGTCTGCTTTTACTTGTGGTTTTTTTGTGAAGTCTGTATCTAAGCATGCTGATATGATTCCCCTCCCTTTTAACTCATGTATTCCCTTTGTGTGATTCAAGAATGCTTGAACAATTGTATTCTTTTACCTACTGTGAACTTACCACTTTGTGAATCCCAAATCCCCTATCCCTCCTCTATGTGTTCATGACTGGTTTGTGATTATGCCAGTGTCAAACTATCTCTGAGCATGTCCATACCGATCCTAATACTCCTGCCGGGGTTAGGTGTCTGCAATCAATGTATATGCATCCCCAAACCCCCTAACCCCATGTGTGATTACTGAATTTATTCACTTACTGTATGTGGTCTTACCCTGAAGTGTTTGAACTCTGTTTTACTAATCCAACTTCTTTCAACCATCTCTGTTACTAACTGCTTTCAAAATGGACCTTTCATTCCGGTTTTTAACAAACTTCTTTCAAACATGTGTCATGTACTTTCACTCTACTCCTAGTTAATAAGTTCTGCCCCTTTTGTGTGAGCCTTGCCTGGGGACCCTTGAGCTCCCTCTGAACTTGGACACACAAAAACTGGCCTTTCCACACCGCACTTACTCTGTCTTGGCTATGAAATCTGGGTGTGAGCACTGCCCGGAATCCCTTGAGGTCCTTAGGGAAGTCTGACACACCCAGATATGAGAAAGGCTGGGGAACAATCTTGGCATTTGAGGTGATTTATTACATAACTCAGAGAGGAAGCCCTAATCAGGTGCTGAAAATCTGGGCCTGTTTTCAGGCTCTCTATAGTGTAACTTTTTATTTTTTTTCTTTTCTACTTATGTAATTAATTTCAGTGTTCGTCTGTAATAATCTATTGTAAACAAGTATTAGGGCTAGCTAGTGAAAAGGGGAGGGTAGTTACATATGCTATCAACATCAATGGGTAGAAACCACGTCTTAGGATCACATTTCCTATATGTGCATTAGAATCCATGTGTAAGATCAACCTATTCAAAGCATGTCATGCATTAGATACCATGTTCTTAGGTTTACCGTTTCAGCATCTCATTTGGCATCACTTTACCACTTAGAAATCCTGCTTTAGGCTAATAACAGCATTAACATAAAACTGTTGCTCTTTTACGTCTTGAAGTCATTCTGTAATTTTTTGGGCATTTAGAAATCATGCTATAGGAGTTCTGCAATCATTCTGCATTTTCATATGTACACGTTAGATCCCTATTTTAGGATCTTGTTCACACTCGCTCAGTCACACCTAGTTAAAATACTGATGCATGAAAAAGACATAAAACAGTCTCATGTTTGATTATCATGTTTAAGTGAAACTGGTCACAATCCTTGATGTCTTTGCAACATTTAGAACTGCATGCTTTAGGTAAAATAACTTCCAAACTGTTTTTAATAATTCTGGTAACTACTGCACATTATTTTACGCCCAGGCAAGCCTTAGGTAATCAAATTTAAAATAAAATCCAGAACCGTCTTTGTGATTAATGTTTAACTGTCAGCATGTTAAAATCAGTAGGCAAGCTTGATTACTACTTCTTCTCTGAGTCATATAATAAATTTGACTCTGCTGTTATCACTTACATACCATGTTTAGGATCTGAATTTAGACCTTAATTGTGTATGAGTCATGTTGTTTGCCTGCATTGTCTGTGGAGGTAAACCTGAGCCACTAATTGCTTCTTTCCTGCCTTATTTGCCAAAGTCCTATTTGTTCTTGCCTGTCGCTTAGTATTTTACCTTTAAACTTGAGGGTCTGCCTAGAACCCCCTTTTTTAGGATAGGAGTCCTAAATTCTTCCGGGACTGATAGGAAGGGACGGGTAACAACATGCAATAGGGGTCGAGACCAACCCTCGCTTTAATTACCTTCACGGGGCGGCAAAGGGTAGATATGGATATGATGACTAGTGCGCTAATGCCACGCGTAGCCCCTTTCCAAGGAGTGATTATCGGGTATTGCATTGATGTGATCCATATTATAAACAAACCTAGGATACCCCCTTAAATTCTCAAGTATGCTTAGATTGTAATTCTTTTCATAATCTTGCTTTGTCATTAATTGCTTTTCAAACACCTGTGTATTTAAACTCAAATCCCCTACTATTTGAGCCATACTTGTTTATCTGCTAATTGTACAAATTCACGAAAACTGTTTGGCCGGGAATCACATTAGTGGATCCTGAGGGGTGCCTAACACCTTCCCCTTAGGATAATTTCATGCCCTTACCCTGTCTCTGGTTACCAAACATAGTTATAAATGAACCCTATGGGTGCCCTAACGCACCTTAAATCGTTAGGTGGTGACTCTTCAAAATGCAAACCCCCTTTCCAAAAGGAGAGAGTTGTCCCAACCAAAACGTCATAAACCCGATTTCGCGAGAAAAAGGGGGCGCGACAGCATGGCGACTCTGCTGGGGTTAGGCTTTTACCATTTCATACCATTTTTTGTGAATTTGTACCCCCCCCCCCCTTATGTGCAATTGTTTGTTTAATTCCTTTAAGCGTTTAATTTCTTCTTCAAAAGCAAAACTGACATATCTTTCTTGTTTCCTTCCGTTATAACTGCTTTAAATTTTAAAACTGCTATATTTATCACTTTTTTAACGTGCAAATACATGTCAACATGCTTTTAATTATTGCATAACCATGCTCAACATCATACTCCACTCGTGCCAAACAAATACTATAGCAACGCTTGATGAGTGGTTGCGCCCTTCCTATATCATTACCCCCTAAATTCGGAAAGGCTTATTTGCGGTAAAACTAGTCAATCAGCGGTGCAATCGACAGTTCCGTGCCTTCCCACTTGAGTTGTCCGCTCAAGGGTACCAGTCTAAAACCCCATAGAAACCTTACTCTGCTTAAATTGCACATGCATCATGGTCGAACCTAGTCGGGTCAGTTATGTTGTCCACATAATGATCCTTTAAGATAGCCTTATCCAAAGTCCACCGAGTTTCCATAAACCCAACGAACGCAATCACGTTCCATGCATTAATTTGGAGAACTAAATGTCGATATGCTGATCATAAATGTATAAATAGTCGAGTCTGGTGGGGGTAAGGTCTAACCCTTTTGTTTTGCAGAGATGAGGCACGAGGTCCCTAGCTTCGGAATGGTTAACATACCCCCACTCTTGCTGGACTGGTGGAGGAATCTTCCATCGGATGATCAAATCAATGAATGGAAAGAAAGGGCCGTCAAGACTAGCAAAAAGCTAAATTATCTGGAATACAGCCTGTTAGAATTGGAAGGAAAAGTGAGGAAAAGAGTCAACGACTGCCAGAGCGCTGAGGGAGACGAAGGACATCTGGCAAAGGCGTTTCTTACTAATGAGCCTACGCGAGCTGGAGGATTTGATCAACGAGAACATTCAACATGAGGAAGGTCCTCCTAAAACCAAATAGATTTTAGGCTTACTCGCTTTCTAAATGCAATAAGGCCAAGTGCCAATAGTAACTCATTTTTATCATTATTTCAGTATCGTTTTGGGATTCGTCTATTCTTACATTATGAAATGAAGCATTTAGCATTCTAAGTTCTCCAAATCAATTTGTCGCTAGGCCTACCTCGGGCACAAAGAGGTTCCCAAATTAGGACACTCTTTGCATTCCCGCACTATGTGTTTAAATATTGCAATACTTTTTATAATCCTCACTGACTTGATTACCTTTTGTTTTATTATTCCCCTCCCCAAAGGATAGTTCGTGCACTGTAGCATCATCATCTTATCTCACAAGATCCAGGGGCCCTCCACCCACTCCTCCTCTTAGTCCCATTAAAGGCAAGGATAAAGGCAAGAATAAAATGGAAGATTTAAACAACATCGGGAAGGAGAATAAAGCTGAACGGGTAGAGGCCACTGATGGCCAGGGTATTCGGGTTCCTAACGAGAATGTGTCA